TTCCTATACATTTTTATGTAAACTTGGGTCAGCCATTTTGTCCCCGCTCTACCCCTGGGGGTCATGATTTGAACAAACTTGAATTTACACTACCTGAGGACGTTTCCCCATAAGTTTCATCTTTCCTAGCACAGTGGTTCTTGAAAAGATTTTTAAAACATGCGACCATGTCATTAATTCCCAATTATCTCCCCTTTAATGAGGGCGTGGCCCTTCATTTGAACAAACTTGAATCTCCTTTACCCAAGGATACTTTGTGGCAAGTTTGGTTGAAAGTAGCCCAGTGGTTCTTAAGAAGAAGTCAAAAATGTGAAAAGTTTACAGACAGACGGACAGCTAGACAGACGGACGGACGCCGGACAAAATGTGATCAGGAAAGCTCACTTGAGCCTTCGGCTCAGGTGAGCTAATAAAACTTTGATCGGACATTGTGGCCCCACCCTACCCCCGGGGGTCAAAGTTTCAACTTTCCTGGCACAGTGGTTTAAGTTCTTAAGAAGAAGATTTTTAAAACATACCACCAAATTTTCACTAATTCTCAATTATCTCCCCTTGAATAGGGGCATTTCCCTTCATTTGAACAAACTTGAATCCCCTTCACCCAAGATCGCTTTGTGGCAAGTTTGGTCGAAATTGGCCCAGCGGTTCTTGAGAAGAAGTCGAAAATATGAAAAGTTTAGGGACAGACACACGGACGCCGGACAAAATGTGATCAGAAAAGCAAAACAAAGTTAAAAACAAATATTTAGTGATCAAACATACCAAGAGGCTCAGGGGCCACAGCGCATACCTGAGCACATCAAGTAGGAAAAAGTACATGCTATGATTTGGACAAACTAGAATCTACACTACCTGAGGAGAATTCTATATAAATATCACTAATCATACATTTGAAGTCCTTGAAAAGAAGATTTTAAAAGGTTTCCCTATATATCCCTATATAAAACTTGGATTGGCCATTTTAACCCCACCCTAGCCCTGGGGGTCATGATTTGAACAAATTTTAATCTACACTATCTGAGAATGATTCCACATAAGTTTCATCTTTCCTGGCCCAGTGGTTCTGGAGAATAAGATTTTTTAAGATTTTATTTATATAATCCTATGTAAATCTAGGATCGGCCATTTTGGCCCCACCCTTGCCCCAAGGGGGTCATGATTTGAACAAACTTGAATCTACACTATCTGAGGATGATTCCACATGAGTTTCATCATTCCTGGCCCAGTGGTTCTGGAGAAGAAGATTTTTAAAGATTTTTCCTAAATATTCCTATGTAAAAGTAGGGTTGGACATTTTGGCTCCACCCTTGCCCCCGGGGTCATGATTTGAACAAACTTAAATCTACACTACCTGAGGATGATTCCTCATGAGTTTTATCTTTCCTGGCCCAGAGGTTCTGGAGAAAAAGATTTTTCCTATACATTCCTATGTAAAACTAGGATCGGCCATTTTCGCTCCACCCTTGCACCGGGGGTCATGATTTAAAAAAAAATGAATCTACACTACCTGAGGATGATTCCACAGGAGTTTCATTTTTCCTGGACCAGTGGTTCTGGAGAAGAAGATTTTTAAATTTTTTCCTATATTCCTATGTAAAACTTGGGTCGGCCATTTTGGCCCCACCCTTGCCCTGGGGGTCATGATTTGAACAAACTTGAATCTACACTACCTGAGGATGATTCCACACGAGTTTAATCTTTCCTGGCCCAGCGGTTCTGGAGGAGAAGATTTTTTTAGAAATGCCATTAATTTTTAACAAATTCATGATTATCTCCCCTTGGAAAAGGGCGTGACCTTTCATTTGAACAAACTTAAATCCCCTTCACCCAAGGATACTTTGTACCAAGTTTGGTTGAAATTGGCCCAGTGGTTCTTGAGAAGAAGATGAAAATGTGAAAAGTTTACGACAACAACGACAACGACAACAACAACAACGACAACAGACAACGGACAAATTTTGATCAGAAAAGCTCACTTGAGCCTTCGGCTCAGGTGAGCTAAAAAGCGTTTGTATGCATCTGAGTCAAATTACGCGATATCTAACAAGGTTTTATGAGAGTGGCTTCATAAATGGATACACAAGCGAACGAAAAATACTTTAGATGCAACTTTTGTAGAAAAGCATTAGATTTCTGAATTAAATCAGTAGGCTGGAGATGGAGTGAAAAAGCGGTAGACTCCTGCCTAAATCCGTAGAGTAAACATGTATGCAGAAAAGCTCACATGAACCTTCGGCTCAGGTGAGCTAAAAAAATTAGTAGGCTGAAAATTGTAACGGATCTCTTCAAATCAGGTCTACATACAGGTTTTGATTCTATGAAAAATAGGGTTGAGCATTGCAGAAATGTAATAGGGTGACATGTAAATGTCTATAGATGTAAAACCATTCAAGAAATAAGATTTTGACAACAGAAATCCTGTCCATTCTTGATGGCTAAATGTAGAAATTATTTACCTTCTAACTTTCTGTCTTTTACAATGAAAAGATGTTGATGGACTTCCAGTCCCCTGGTGGACTCTGTAACTTCACCATCATTCTGACTTTGCCCTCTTAATCTCTTCAGTAGCGTTGTTTTTCCAGCCTCAGCACATCCAACAAGTATTCCTCTGGCATGGGACACGGTTGTCTTCTCCTTTCTCAAGAACGTTTTTAACTCATCCACTTTATCTAAAACATAAAAGAATAATTAGAATTATTCTCAGAACACACAGATGATATTTTTTCTTTTTTTTTTCAATTTTGAAAGAAGAACCCACCCTTTATCTTTACTAAACTCTTAATTTATTTCCTTACTATCTAAGAGCAGAGATGAGATTTTTTTCTAAGAAATAATGTTTTCTGTATTTAAACATGTTAAAATGTTTAATCAATAGAGCCCCTCTCCCTATTTCATCAAAAGAACACTGAACTCACTATTTCTATGTAGTTCATCAGTTAAAGTGGAAAATATTCATTTCGTTTTTGAATTGATGTATTTTTACAATATGACCTTTAGAGAAGTGCCCTCAGACACGAGAGAAGGCCACTGGGAGGATGAACTTTACAATTTTAGTTTCCCTTTACTAGTAACTGCTATATGTCAGAGTCGTTTGAAACTGGTCCTTTAGTTCCAAAGAAGAAGCTTAAAATATAAGATGTTACCTTCTGCTCATGTAAGGGAGAGGTCCACTGGGAATAAGTATTGCCTCCTTAGTTACACATTCATATACACATGGCCTCCACACACTGACAGTAACCTTTTGACCTTGTTAATTTTATCAGAAAGAACCTTTTAATTTACAACTAATGTTTTGTTTTAAGAAAATCAACTACAAAAACTTATTGTCAAATCCCTATAGCCTACACCCACCCACTCTACACCCATTTTACATATATCCGATAGATTTTAATTAGTCTGGTCCCCTGTTTCATCCTACATGATTTTCTACATTAAAATTTAAATACAAAAACAATTCATAACCATATTTTTTTATAATCCCTATATTTTATATGGTAAATGAAAATATTATATGTATACATTTTACTTTTGTTTTTTTAATCCATTTGCATTTTAAACAATATGCACTGTCAATGTTCATGTCAACAAAAAACACAGTGTTGTTTATTTAGAGTTATCTCTCTTTGCCCAGCACCTCTATTATTAGTCCCCTACCGGTGAAACCGGAGGGGACTATAGGTTTCCTCTGCGTCTGTCCGTCCGTCCGTCTGTCCGTCCCCGTCAGTCTGTCCCACTTGGTTTTCCGCACTTTTTTTCTAAACGCTTGCAGATATTGAGCTGAATTTTGGTACGTGAGTGTATCGTAATGAGTTACAGATCAAGTTTAAATTTCGCTACGCTTCATTGATTTTTGACAGAATTATGGCATTTTGAATATTTTTCATTCCCACTTGGTTTTCCGCACTTTTTTTCTAAACGCTTGCAGATATTGAGCTGAATTTTGGTACGTGAGTGTATCTTAATGAGTTACAGATCAAGATCGAATTTCGTTACGCTTCATTGATTTTGACATAATTATGGCATTTTGAATATTTTTCATTCCCACTTGGTTTTCCTCACCTTTTTTCTAAATGCTTGCAGATATTGAGCTGAATTTTGGTAAGTGAGTGTATCTTAATGAGTTACAGATAAAGTGTGAATTTTGTTACGCTTTATTGATTTTTGACAGAATTATTGCATTTTGAATATTTTTCATTATCGCTTAATTAAGATCGGGTTCGAACTGCGCTAACTTCTGATTGTCGACAAAAATATGAAGCGGGGAAAAGACGATGTATAAATGAGTTGAACTGGCGTCTTTATGTTTATTATTTTATTAGATTTAAGGAATTTACAACTTAAAAATCTTTCAGTTTAACCTTGGACATGACTTTTGCACATTAAAAAATGACATCCTGAAGAAAAAGGGGAACCCGGTAGGGGACATGTATTGCTTATGCAATACTCTCAGAATGCTTGTTCAACAAGTCTATAGAGACAATTGTTTATATGTTTCAGTAACATCTATACACTTGATAAAACTCTACACACGTGAGAAATTTAATTAATTCCAGAGGATGTTTTACAAGTTCATAAACATTTACATGTATTAACATGATTCAAACATTTTTTTCTTTCTAGAAATAACTGCTTTGCCAAACTCTTTTAAAACATGTAAAAGTATTCTACCATAAAGTATTAGTTAAAGTACAATTTATAATTTATATCATCCTCATCTTGAAAATATTTCTTGCTATTTATTGTGATAAATTATAATTCAATGAAAGATGTAATGTAATTAGACTTATCATTTTAAATGTTTTATTTGATATAACACATACAAGTTGAAACAACAGTGAATGTGTCTTCCTAAATAATTAAATTATTGTAAATAATGGTAGGCCTAGATGTAGCATTGTACATAAAACATAGTTACCTAATACCTATACATGTAAATAAGACACACAATCATATAAGAATGTAACTCACCAGTCAGATTGTCCCCTTCATTGATAAGTCTGTAAATGTTTACTTTGTTGTTGCCCCATGATCCAACCCAGAGAAGCTGTGTATCACAATCATAACTCAGGCCGTATGGTTTGTATATCCCGTGTTGTTCTCTCCCTAACATTGTCACGTAGTTACCGTCCTGGTCAATGATATGTACTGTGTCGGTTCTAACATCACACACCAGGATGTGTGACAGCGCGTCAGTACAGATTCCACGTGGATCTAGTCCTGATCCTGATGGATGACCTGTGTAGGAGAAGCGATGTCTCCCTGTACTGTCTGTCACCACTACAGCATCACGGTAAAAGTCAGACACAATAACATCTCCATTGCGGTTCTCTGTGATGTATCCAGGATATTCATACAGTCCCTGACCTGTGTTGTCGTGCTGTATGGTCTGTATGTGTTCTCCAGTGTTGGTGTAACGGTTTACCTGGCCTGTATATGTATCAGTATTATACATCCCGACCAGCAAGTGTCCAGTGGAGGGGGAGCTGTAGACACTGTGTGGTTCCCATGGTGATGTGTATGGTATCACTTTGGTCTTTTCTTTATCTTTAGATCGTTTTATGATGTTACGGTCACTGTCTATATAAATCACAGCACTATCCCGAGTCACAGTATGTACTCCATAACCATATTGATATAAACCTGTCACTTTATCTAGTGTAACACCTCTCGTGTTTGTTAAGATGAGATTGCCTTCATTATCACTGATCCAGACCCGGTCTGTTGACACCTGGGTAATGTAATAACACCCACTAACCCCAGACACTCTGACAGATTTGTGTAATACTGCTGTATACATCACTGACACCAGACTTCTGTTTCTTTTTCATGTGATTTTATAATCCTGTGTGGATTTCCTTCAGGGAGATCTCTCTGTAAATTACATCACTGTTCTAGAGTTTTCTACATCAATAACAGGTTGTTTACAGACATTGTATGCATATTGCCCAATCTGTTCAGTAGTTTGAAGATATACATGTATTATATAAAGTGAAATAATTATTTAATATATATTTATTACTACTTATTATAATATGCCTCTCTTTATAAGTTTATTATTACTTATTATTAAGATCAGGCCATCCTTACAGAATATGTTTGTTTGCCCTCTCCAGACTGAGGATAAAAAACAGGGTAGGCAGATCAGGACCAAATTCTTTTCTTTATTCGAAAACACCTGCAAATGTGAAATCAGAAAAGTTTTTATTTGGGCTGTTTTAGTTACTAAATCATTGAGACAAGGCAACCAAACAGTTTTTAAAGATGGCCTTGTGTATCAATGTTCTCGATTTAAGAAACTGAAAAACTTAAAAGTATCAAAATACACATAAACATATTAAATACCTTTCTATTGGGAACTGAGTCCTTTTGATGTCTCAATAGATAGCAGCCTCCAAGTGTTCACAATATTATCTGTCTAACAAATCAATATTTACAAATTATTCAGTAAAACATAACTACATGATTGTATAAACATATTGAAAAACTTGTAAGAATCAAAATACATAAATATACACATATTAAATACCTTTCTATTGAGAACTGAGTTCTTTTGATGTCGCAATATATAGCAAGTCTTCAAGTGTTCACAATATAACCTGTCTAATAAATCAATAATTACAAATTATTCAATGGAATTAAACTATATATTTAGGTATATAAATATAAATTATACATTTTCTGAAATGATTAGCCCTGCAGATAGCCATGATCAAAAGTTTGTTGTAACATATAAACAAGAGGCCAATGGGCCACATTGCTCACCTGAGAACATTGTCTAGGATAAGCAGAAATCAGTTCTTACATGGGCTAGGGGGGAGGTGGACTTAATTTTTTACACTTTCTGATTATTCTTCCATATCAACATTGTAATGGCTTTGCTGTTCTTGAGAAGAAATAAAAAAAAACTCTTATATTTACCTTTGTAAATTTTTGATCCCCTTTTGGGGCCCTCCTCACCCCAGGGGGTTATGATTTACACAAACATAATTTTCACTTCCTGAGCATCCTTCACTTCAATATCAATATGACTATAAACAATACTTTGTTGATCATGAGTAGATTTTTGCCTATATTCTCCTGTGTAAAAATTTGATACTCCAAAGTGGCCTCACCCTACCCCCCAGAAGTCATCATTTGATTGATTGATTGATTGTATACTGTTTAACGTGAATAACGTCCCTCTCCAGAATATTTCATTATATGGAGACGTCACCATTGCTGTTGAAGGGCTGCAAATTTAGGCCTATGCTCGGCACTTACGGCCTTTGAGCAGGGAGGGCTCTTTATTGTGCCACACCTGCTGCGACACAGGGCCTCGGTTTATACTGTCTCATCCGAAGGACTGTCCCATTTAGTCGCCTTTTACGACAAGCAAGGGGGTACTGAGGACCCCTTTCTAACCCGGATCCCCACGGGGGGTCATCATTTGAAGAAATCTGAATCTACACTTCCTGAGGATGTTCTTATATCAATATGAGTAAACATGGCATTGCTTTTTACTTGAGAAGAAGATTGTGAAAGTTGTTGTTTTTGATATGTATGCCTGGCCCTATGTAGGACTTTGATCCCCCACTGTGGCCTCATCCTATTCCATCACCCCTCCCCTGGGAGTCTTAATTTGAATGAACGTGAACTTACACTATCTGAGAAATAGCTGCAGATCTGTAGCTATCCCAAAAAATATATATTGAAAGACCGGAAAACTACAGTGCCACCCATTGAAAAAACTGTATATTTATTGCGTACAAAAAAGTGCGCTCGGTTCTTGATTATTTCTGTAGTTTGGTTGAAATTGGTCCATGGTTTCTAGAGAAATTGAAAATCTGAAAACCTTACAGATGGACAGACAGACAGCTAGACAGACGGACTACAGACAAAATTTGATCAGCATTCAACTTAGGTGAGCAAAACGGACAGAAAAAAGCACATACCACACCGATTTCTTGTATCTGGTAAAACAAGGAACACTGTACGGTTTCCGTTTATCTTGTCTCTTTTTCTTGGCTGAGAAAACAAAGGACAATTACATATTATTTATTATTCTAAAAAGAGTACATATGTAAACATATAGTAGGTTTTATTTACCAAATTTTATTTTATCGATAAAATATTTTAATTCAAAACAAAGTTTTTACTCATGTCAACAGAACATGTGAATCAAAAAAAGAATTTTAGATCTACATAAATTTACTTTTATTTTTTAATCCTGATTATTGATGAAGATTTGCTCGCTGAAGAAACATCACAACCAGTGAGGTAGCCATATTTTCATCCTTGTAACAGCTGCACAGCACATCCCTTCATATCTGTCAAAAAAAGCCAGAACATTTTAACCCTAATATTTTTTAAAACTTCCGTCATTTTCACTATTTTTGTGTAAATGGATAGAAATATTTGAATAAAAGTCAAGAAATTTAGAAAATGTGTAATTTAATGTGATTAACCGGTTAATCAGTCGGAACGTCTTGCGATTAACGGATCAGTTAGGGGCATAGCTTAAACAATTAAGTTATTTTCAAAAATAACTCAAATGATTTTTTCACCATTGCTGTTGAAGGGCTGCAAATTTAGGCCTATGCTCGGCACTTACGGCCTTTGAGCAGGGAGGGCTCTTTATTGTGCCACACCTGCTGCGACACAGGGCCTCGGTTTATACTGTCTCATCCGAAGGACTGTCCCATTTAGTCGCCTTTTACGACAAGCAAGGGGGTACTGAGGACCCCTTTCTAACCCGGATCCCCACGGGGGGTTATCATTTGAAGAAATCTGAATCTACACTTCCTGAGGATAATCTTATATCAATATGAGTAAACATGGCATTGCTTTTTACTTGAGAAGAAGATTGTGAAAGTTGTTGTTTTTGATATGTATGCCTGGCCCTATGTAGGACTTTGATCCCCCACTGTGGCCTCATCCTATTCCATCACCCCTCCCCTGGGAGTCTTAATTTGAATGAACGTGAACTTACACTATCTGAGAAATAGCTGCAGATCTGTAGCTATCCCAAAAAAAATATATTGAAAGACCGGAAAACTACAGTGCCACCCATTGAAAAAACTGTATATTTATTGCGTACAAAAAAGTGCGCTCGGTTCTTGATTATTTCTGTAGTTTGGTTGAAATTGGTCCATGGTTTCTAGAGAAATTGAAAATCTGAAAACCTTACAGATGGACAGACAGACAGCTAGACAGACAGACTACAGACAAAATTTGATCCGCATTCAACTTAGGTGAGCAAAAAAGGACAGAAAAAAAGCACATACCAGAGATTTCTTGTATCTGGTAAAACAAGGAAAAACTGCACGGTTTCCGTTTATCTTGTTTCTTTTTCTTGGCTGAGAAAACAAAGAACAATTACATATTATTTATTATTCTAAAAAGAGTACATATGTAAACGTATAGTAGGTTTTATTTACCAAATTTTATTTTATCGATAAAATATTTTAATTCAAAACAAAGTTTTTACTCATGTCAACAGAACATGTGAATCAAAAAAAGAATTTTAGATCTACATAAATTTACTTTTATTTTTTAATCCTGATTATTGATGAAGATTTGCTCGCTGAAGAAACATCACAACCAGTGAGGTAGCCATATTTTCATCCTTGTAACAGCTGCACAGCACATCCCTTCATATCTGTCAAAAAAAGCCAGAACATTTTAACCCTAATATTTTTTAAAACTTCCGTCATTTTCACTATTTTTGTGTAAATGGATAGAAATATTTGAATAAAAGTCAAGAAATTTAGAAAATGTGTAATTTAATGTGATTAACCGGTTAATCAGTCGGAACGTCTTGCGATTAACGGATCAGTTAGGGGCATAGCTTAAACAATTAAGTTATTTTCAAATGAGTTATTTTTTTTGGTCTCAATGAGTTACTTTCCTTTGCTATGACCTTAACTTTCTCCTAGCCTTAGTAACTGAAACACTTTACTTTTCTCAAATAGCTTCAATAAATTAATTACTTGTTTAAGTTATTTTGTGGCATTCCTCCCTAACTTCACACCCCATGCACTACAGAATTTTGATCGGGCACCAAGACAAAAACAAATGTTTGACTAAATTTAAACTTTGCTCAATGCAGGAAAAGTGTTAAAAGTCTTGGGAAAGTGGGGATTTTTTTTTTATTTTATGATAAAAATTGGACATATACAGCATATGGATAAAACCACAAAATAAGGTTTAAATGCCGTTTATCTCCACCTCCTCACCAATTTTCCATTGGAGTCGGTGCACTCTATCTAGTATTACATAATGCAATCACAAAATGCAATCCATATTGGAAGGAAACACAAAATTTCTAAGAAATTAATGTCCAAGTAGGATATAAAAATAACTTGTTATTCAAAAAAAAAAAATTGTGTGCGTAAAATAACTTATTTAAGTTTTTTTTTAAACTTGTTTGAGTTATGCCCATGACTGCTGATTAGCAATTCTGCATTCGATTGCCATCCCTAGTTATAAGTACACTGTATGAGCTTCCAGTAAATATTACATAATTATAGCTGGTCAGGGCATGACTACAAGGGCAGACAGACAGACAAAGTGATTCAGGTATATAAGAATCAACAGACAGTTTTTCACAATTTCACAATTTTCAAACTATTTTCTTAAGAAACAAACCTGATTTTTACTTGTGAAAATTCATATGCATTATTATCCAATGTCAGATGCCTTTTGGCAACACTGCTTGAAATTGTTGTCTCTATAGAGTGATTCTGTGGGAGAAAAATAGGAAAACCTAATGATACATGTTTCACATCATCGGATGAAAATAGATGGCATTATAGCACACGAATAGCTCGGAAGATTTTAATAAAAAAAAAAAATCTAAACTCATAATTCATTTTCATTCCTTCAAAATAATTATTTAAATTTCAATAGATTCATGATATTAATTAAAAAAAAAACATAAACATTACAAATCCTATTATAAAACATGTTGAACTGTATGATAATTTTATTAATTGTATATTATTTATATCATATACGAGTATTCAGCTTGCTTTTATATTATTTACACATTCACATAGTTTAGTTTAAAGTTTGTACATGTACACGAAGGGAATTTTTCACCTTCTCCCCCCTCCCCCCACATATTTGAGCAGTTATGTTTTGAGTTAATCATGTTAATAATGTATATGTTTGGTGATGCCTGTATGTAAGTCTCCACAAGCACCTGTTCTCAGACACCGCATGTGTCTTGATTGGAACTATGCCTAATTTTGTTCCTTATATTAAAAGTCATGTTGACATTTAAAAATTGGCTTTTAAAGTGTACGGATTTTAACTTCCTCCTTTTTTTTTTTCTTTTTTTTTTTGGGGGGGGGTCCTTTCTCTGTCGTGTTTCTCCATCCCCCCCCCAAAAAAAAAAGGTTTCTTGAGCCCTAACACATCTTCCCACCCCAATTACTAGTAAGGTCCGCGGACGAAAAATATCTCCATTGACATAGTTCTTATGCTGTAAATACTATCTTCAGTGACTTTAAGGACATACAAATGCCAAGTCAGTTCTATTCAGCGAAAGTCATAAGCTTTCTTTTCCGTTCTCGTTAACTTTGGTATCTGAGAATGACAAGACCTAAATATTCTGGGTATACCCATCAAAAATTCAAATTCTCCTTTTCCCTTGATATTCTACAGTTATATGGAATGGGTACGAGGGAAATAGCTAATTTATGTTTCCCCGAGGGAGGAAACTAGTTCCCGAGGCGGCAAGGCGGGGAACCATAAATTTGCAATTTCTTGAGTTACATTGCTAATAACATTACGTCACGGACTCGAAATTCCTGGAACACATTGATTGGTTAAAATTACTAATAAATATTCATGAAGGAGTAGTTCCAGTGAGTAGCTCTGATTTCTCAGGGAGAAGTCCTCAGATGAGGAAAAGAGTCTCTTCTCGGGGAAAAAGGCATTTTTATGATATTAATTTAATATAGAGTTATTACAGTAGAGGTAAAATAAACATGAATACAAAGTGTGAAAAAAGTATTAAAGTGTATTCTTAGAGCTCTGGGGCCTGTTTTACAAAGGACATACGACTTAGGACCAAATTTAATTCTCATATAACTTTTTAATTCATATCGAAAATTATTTTTAACTCTGTTGAAGGAATGTGGTAATATATTTTTACAGAAAAAAATTCAAAGAGAATGATTAATTTTGCAAAATTTTACAATTATTTAAAATGTTTGGTCTTAGTCGTAAGTTCTTTTGTAAAACAGACTCCTGAACCGGGAACAATTTTTCCCCTCCATGACAATTTTGTACAAGAGGGTATATTTGATTGACTTTAAACATATATCATTATTCTTTTTAATACAAATTCAATCATTTCGAATCATCTCTTTGTTTTCGAATAAATATATGTATTAACAATTATAAACTGTTATACGATTTAGCATAGGATAAATTTTTATAATTCACATCAGACAATTAACAAGAAAAGAGGCCCACGGGCCTTATAGGTCATCAGAGTATTGTGTAACAATTTTCAATCAAATAACTTTGGTTGGTGTTTTAAACCAGAGTTCATGAAATTCACAATTCAAAATTTTGACAGAGGCACCATTGCTTGTCATAATTATAAACCTAGCACGCTTACTCTATTCACTTAATACCCAGAGGTTGATCAGAGTAACAAAGAGAAAAGGCACCTCCACTTTATAACAAGTTTTGCACCTCACCCCAAAGGAACCACTGACCCTGGGGCCACATATTTCAAAATTTTGCAAATTTTATCATATAATGGTTGATTAATACAAAAAACCAGATTTCAAACCATTAATTTATCCAGAAGGGGGGGGGGGGGCATTAAAAATAACCATTTTACTAGATGCACCTTTCTTCGTCATAAATATATATACTTGGGTCATTAGCATAAAACCCAGGAGAAAAGGAAGAGATTTTTAAACAATAAATACACTTTCACTTTGTAATCGATAGAGCCCCTACCCTAAAACCATAATACTGACCCTGGGGTCATGAAATTCAAAATTTTGGAAGAGAAACTCTTACTCATCATAACTATGTGCTTCGTTAGCTTATTTAATACCTAAAAGCAGAGAATTTTTTAACGATTTTTAAAGAATAAATGCATTTTCACTATATAATCAATTGAGCCCCGCCCTAACACCAGAACCCTTGGACCTATGGCCTTAAAATTCACAATATTGGCGCTCTTGCTCATCATAACTAATAATCTTCCCATATATATACTTATGTAGATCATTGATCTTCTATTGCGGTCCCACCCTACCAAAGGGGTCATCATTTGTTGAACTTAAATGTACAATACATAGGAATACTTTCATATCAATATGACTAAACATGTCCGTGTTGTTCTTATATTTTTTCCCCTAAATAGACCCATGTAAAAGTTTGATTCCCCATAGTAGCTCCATCCTATCCCGGGTTTCAGGCATTGAACAAGTTTTAATCTATACAATCTGTGAACGCTTTTTTATATATAACTTTGACTTAACATGACCTTGGTGTTGTTGAAAAGAATTTTGAAGGTTTTTTCCTACAAATACCTATGTGACACTTTGACCCCCTATTCTGACACTCAATTTTATTGCGGAGGTGACGATTTCACCAAACCTGAATGTACATAATATTATCTTTAAATGGCTTTGCGGTTCTTCAGAAGAAAAACCAAGAGCTGACTTTTTTCTCCTTTTTGTCGATTTAAATCCTAGCTTTAAACATATATTTCCAACAGAAAGTCAAGTGTGTCTTTCAATCTATTCGTGCGTAAATTAAAAAAAAACAGTTTTAATATAACATTACGGGCAGCACGTTTACAAACACTTTAAAATGCAATATGATATACCTGGTATGCAGCTCTATATAATTCTTTTGGTTTACTAACATTACACATCAGCCAATTCGAAAAGAATGCACATAATAGAAGGATAGATATCAAAACAAACCCATTTTAGACCATCGGTATCTTTTGGGAAGAAAACTGTTTCTTACATAATATTTTGTTTTTGCTGTAGTTTTGATATGAAAATTTCCAATACCATCTAACTGGCATACCTAACACCCCTAACTTTCTGTTCATGTAATTAAGAGCATATCGCGTTTGGATAGTTCAGAGAAATTTTTTTGCTGTCAGGTATTTTTAAGAAAGCCCCTCCCCCAACACAAACACACACACCTTTCCTCACACACAAACACCCCCTCACTACACGTATCTCTCTAATATTTTTAAAACAGTTGTAATATGTCTATTTTATACAGTCTTCTTCAATTCTTTATACTTATTCTAGTTTGTTAATTTTTTTTTTTTACTATTAATA